AAATCTGAATTGGCCCAAATGAATTCTACTTTGGAGCTTTTTCTCAATTTGGCCCTACCAAGATCCAAGTAGGATTTACCAACGATGTGCAATTTTTGAAATAACTAATAATTATCCCAAAATTGTCATCAATGTTGGTTACATGGAAGTCCCATCACGACTTGAACGACACAAAGACGTAGAGATTTGGGATGTTATTACGGCAATAAACCGGTAAAAGAAAATTTTTCGCTCGGTGGAAACCGGAACAGCAAACTATCGATTGACTTACTCAACTTTACGCTGTGAATTTTTCAATGAGTAAAATTTTGTCATAAAAGGTGTTTCTCTCCAAAATTCGTCCTTCTTGAGCTAGTGCGTCTTAGCAGCTCCTTCTGCGTATGGCATTAGTCGAACCTAGACCGCATGCGTCGGACACAATAATGAATTATAACAGCGAATGCATCTCTGTAGAGGCTGTTTCTTAGCTACAGTCGCATGGAATGAGGCTTAAGAAAGGAAAGGTAAGCAAAAGAAATTTCTTAACAACACGTTTTATTGCAGCTTTGCATACACAAACTTGACCGCTCCGTTGATATTTGTTCGTATCTTATCTTGCAGAAAAGGACGGTTGCGATGGCAAAGATCTCCTTGCTATCGCTCAAGACACTACATCCCTATTATAAAAGAGCGTCTAAAGTTCAAGGAATTGATTGTAAAGAACGCTGAACCTAAAGATGACACGAGTTCTTCGTCGGTACGATAATTAATTTTCCCACCAGAGAATTTGACGCATGAATGGTTCGCCTTTTCTCCTGAGGCTTGTTGAGTCTCAGCGGTTTCACAGCTAAAGTCACGTGATCAAATTTTGGCGCCGAGAGATAAAGACGGCTACTGCTCGAATACTGCGTTTGCACATGATGGATGGATTTAATTTATTTCAAGATTCTCTGATTTTAGGATCTCTCACTCTGAATTCTTAATAGTTTTCTTAAAAAGATGAACTGATATTTTTATGTCTATGTCTTGTTTGCA